CTTACTCTGCAGAGTTACCTACTGCTCATAAGTACTTACTCCTCATAAGTACCTACTGCTCATAGTTAATTGCTGATCATAGGTATTATGATTCCCAACTGGTTCTAACATCCCCGGAACGAAGTGGCTTCTGCCGGCCAAGTCTTGGACATGTGTTGTGTTTCAAAAGTTGCAAGTCATTGTTTATTAGTGTTCAAAGTTAGTAAATGAATAGTTACTTACTGCCCATAGATACTTACCGTTCACAGTTACTTATTATTCATAGAAACTGATCATAGTTAATTACTAGTCATAGATACTAACTGTTAAAAGATACTTACTGATCGTCTTTACTACCTAAAATATTTTATTTAATTTAAAATATACTTTATATGGTTGGAGATGACTCTTTCTCTGCTTTGCAAACTTCTGACTGAAATTATACTACCCTGCAAGGGTATACAAATTATTATTACCATTCCCTGTTTAACATATATCAGTTAGAAAAAAACCAAATGATTTATTTATAATTGACTTGACTTTCCGTTCAGAATATTTTCTTGTTTTCTAAATTTGTATCTTGCTAAGTTTATCCCGACTACGACGCCCCTGTCGCAAATCGCCCCTCCTAATCGTATCGTTAAATTGATTAATTCCTTTATTTGTGCACCCCGCTGGAAATTGCGGTCGGCTGTCTTGTCGATTCGAGATTGAGTGTCGAAGGGGTTCAAGCGGTCCCCGAAGCAATCAAATTTGGGATTAGAGAGAGCTTCCGTTTAAAGAGAATACTAAAATTTGCATCAATATTTTGTACCTTTTGATGCCTTAGAGTTGTTAATCGAGTACTCTGAATTTCTACGTATTTTGAGTACATATTTCATACTTCCTTATTGTTGTGTTTTGGAGGGAAACCCCCTTCAATCCATTCTTCCTGCTTCCCTACATATATACTATATGTATACTATACATATACCTTCCGTAGCCGCCGGCGCATATTTTGATTTTGGCTTCAACGCCGATTTTGATGGATTAATGGAGCTGGGGCGACATTTGTTGTCAGTGTCGGCATCTTGGCGTCAAACAAAGGCGTGGTCATGGCTAATGGCTGGCGGGGATTGCTGGGGTATGCACGGGGGCGTGGTCGCCAGCGATTTGCTCCGGGTCGTTTATCTTATCCGGCAGGGCGGCGAAATGGTGGCAATTACGTATCCGCCCGGTGTGCCAAGCGTATGTACTTCATTCACAGAATGCGGAAAGGTGATTATACGCTCTGGGTTCTCTAATGTTGATCGATAGGCAATTTCAGCGTTGAAAATTAACGCTTAATTGGCTTAGAATACTTAAGGAGATCCTGTTTCGAAACAAGATGTTAAAATGTACGAAACGAAAAGATATCTTTGCTGGTTACGTTTGAGTTTCATTTGCTAATGAGGCAAAAGTATGAAAACTAAGAGATTGCCATATTGATAATGCACTTTTCCTCAGTTACCCAAAAAATTGGCAGCTTAAAGACGAGTGGGGAAATGCATTTGCACCTGGACGGGCTTTCCAAGCGAATGGCTTGCTCAATGACCGAGCTCAGAGACTCGCACAAAATGTTTACGTACGGGTATTTGTGTGATTCTTGTGTAAATTGTCTGTGAAAACGGGGCAAGGTAAAGCTCCTCCGGACTTGGAGTCGAATTCTGGTTTAGCTTCAGCTTTGGCATTTGCATTTGTATCTCATCCCAGTGCACTGTGAGTTCCTTTGCATCATACATCTTCCGTTTCCTCCTCCACGTTCTATTCCTATTCCCATCCTGTCCCTCTAGGAGCAGTCCCTCTTCCGGACGGCGCACACCGATGCTCATTTCGCCCAGCGCCAACTAAAAATGCATTTCCTGTCAAGTGTAAAAAGGAAATGATGTGATGCTCTACGGCTTTAACGTGCAATCAATCATTGCTGGCACTCAAACCCGCATCCCTTTTGCGGTGGCGCAAAGTCAACGAAGGCGGGTTTATTAAGTCGGGCAAACAGTGTTAAGTATTTGTCGAAATGTCAAATGCCAGCGCCAGGAGGGATTCTAGGCTATACCTCACTGCTGCCTGGATTTCCCCTTTCCATCCAGCATCCTGGCCAGCCGCATACACATTCGATTTTAATTGCCACGCCGATAGGCAAGTGATTCCACCTGACGTCCTGTCTCTGGCCCTGACCCATCCAACCTCACCCGTATCCACCAGGGTACCCCTTTTACCCATCTCCCTCCGCCCCCTTTTGGCATTGATGTGCAATTTCCGCCTCTCGCGGTGGCTCCTCAATTAGACGGTCGTTGGGACCGGAGAAGGTTCGTGGGTACTGGCACGTCGTTAACCCTCAGACACGCAAGCCTAAATTAATTAAAAGTAAAGCGCGGTTAGTTTTATCTGCACTGTAACGAAATATAAGGTATTTTTAAACAAAAAATACACTTAAAAAATAGTTTTTGTAGGAGGTTTCAGTAATCTTTAAACGTGTGAAAATTAGCTTAAGAAAGATAGATTAGCTTAAGTACTTATTGATATTAATACGTATATCAAATAAAACAATTGTTTGACATTTTGTATTTAAATAACTAAAGCTTCAAGCTTAATTAAATCTAAAAAATCTCCTAACATTAGCTATTATCTTAATTGTACAAGTCTTTTTGAACCATTTTATTTTTGGAATATCACCATTTGCAAAATGGAAATTGATTTTCCTCTATAGTCTTTTGAAGTGACGCAAAGCATAGAGAATGTATCTCACTTGGTTGGCTTTTATAGAGGACAAAAAAAGCTGTCCAGGAGACAGATTCACTTGGGCGTGAGCTCTCTGGCTCCCCATGTGGGGCGTGTCCTGGCCTGGTGTTAGTGGGTTAGGGCAGGTGGGACATCGCCCAACCATTCAACCCCAGAGTGCCATTCTCCCGATAGCAGACTTTTCAAGTTCAGGCAAGTGATATATGCATACATATAAGTAAATACAGACGTGGATGTGCCCCAAAGTGTGTCTCTTGTCTGCCTACGCATCTTGATGGCCCGGGGCTACGTGTTCGGACGCTGTAATCGGATGTTTATGGCCCAAAGCCAGCTCACGGACGCCACTCGTTCGACGCACTTTCAGTTTCAGCTCCAAAGAGTCCCAGATGGACGGATGGATGGACGGGAGTCATTGAACGGCGATCTCCCAGCCGACGGCGGGTTCCTTGAAGGCGCTTAATTACCACAATTCGAACCGCTCAAATGAGTTGACAACTTTGTTTTTTTTTATTTTTGGGGTGGTCACTTCTAAGAAAAGCCTTTTGGGTCAACCTTCGGTTCTTGGGTATTATTATTATTAATTAAGACCCATTTTCAATGAGCCAATGCATGGTTTCCTTCCTGTTGTATGTCTAACCTATATAAATACATTTTTCGGGCCTCCTTTGAAGCGAGCCACTTGGCCCTGCAATTAGTAATCGGATTTGGTTAGGCTGGCTGTGTTTTTACTCCGGCAAATTCCAAGTGCGAAACAATGTGAAACTGTGCCAATGTCTGCATGTGGGACACCGACAACGACACCCCTCCCAATCGAACATAAGGTAAACATCAGCTAAATGGAGCAATAATAAATTTTCTAAAAAGAGAGAAATACTCGTAACCGAAAACTGAATAATCATGCAGCCAATGGAGCAAACGCTGCTGACATACAAAAGCGTGGATTCCGTTGACAAGTCACTGTTACACTTAGAATAATAATTGGCATTAAAATGGGAATGATTGTAAAGTTAAATTCATTTAAGGGAGATATAGATTAAAGTGTTTTATTAGGGTTTAAAGGGAAGGAAGATATAGATTAAAGTATTTTATTAGGGTTTAAAAGGTCTTTTAATCTTGTATTTTCATATACTGACAATTCCTTTGAGACTGTCCTGAATTTTCTTAATAAAAGTAGTTCTAAATTATACAATTTATGCTAAGGGAAAAAAGTACAAAAACTTATTAAATATAAGAAATTTATCTGGTAAAAATTAAGGGATATTTAACATTTTATTTATGAATATGATAATTTTTCAGTAAGACTTACGACAGAATTAACTAGTTTTTATAAGATATTCAAACATAATATTTAAAGGACTTATTAATATGTAAAATATATATTTTTTGTTGATTATGTATATAAAGAAATGGACAAATTAAAACTAATTTCCTCAAAAATATAAAGAAGTTAGAAAACTTAATGAAAGATAAGATTTTCTAAATGTATTTGTTTTTGAAATGGAATCCTAATCCTTATTTTAAGGGCATATAATTGTATATTTTTATCGGTTTCAAGGCTCTAGTTCCTTTGAGTGCTTCACGTGTATATCTTCGTCGAAGCAGGAGTGGGATTAGGGTGATCACCAGGAGTTGGAGTAGAAGGTGAAGTTGGCACCTGGGTGGCAGCAAATTTTGCGCTCCATCGGCGCGCATGTTTGCCAAGAAATACAGAGGGTTTTGTGTTTTGAAGTGGATGGTACTCCAGCCGTGATGTAATGCCCGCAAGGTGCTGAGTTGACAATTGAGAAGTTAATTGAACGGCGCTCAAATCGCAATTAATTACGGGCAATGGCAATGCCAACACGATAGGTAGGCCTACAAGGAAGCATCGACACTCCGTTGAACTTGACATCGAAATCTAAACCGAAACCGAAACCGTAACCAAAACGAGAGGAGAAACCCGTAGACAAGAAGACAAATTACCCGAAAGAAAACCAGTTTTTGGCCCGCAATTGTCAAATTGTCAACCTCTGAGATAGCATTGTGTACTTGGTACCGGTTTGCTCTTCAGATCTCATGTCAGGGCGCCACTTCTGGAGCAGCCAATTCTGACGCCTCGCCATATAAAGTGACGTGCGCCGGGAGTGGTCGCCATCATTAGCCCAACGTCGCTCCAGAGTCGAGGACGCCCACTGCCGGAGTCCAGTCCAAGCGGATATACTTCTAAATCGTCAATCGTCAATCGCAGTCAGTGCTTCCTGTGCGGCACGTGCCACCACTTCGTCCTCGAGCAATTCAAGTGCAAAGGAAGTGATTCCCACTTTAACAATGGCAGGCAAAGTAAGTTGAAATTTTACAACTCAAATTGAAAGCATTGTTAGAGGTATTTTTATTTTGAAATAGGTTAATTTTCAGACTGATTTCTATAGCTTTTAAAAGTATTAAGCAATTATTTATGGCAACTATTTATGGCAACTATATTTGTATTTAAATCATAGAAATATTTCATGTATTTTCATTAAATTTGTTTTCTATTTCAACTCATAGTTCCTGGCATTCTTACTTACACAGGAATGTGTTGGCTCTGAATTTCAATTATTTCACACTTTTCCTTTTGTTTTTAATAACAAACATGCATTTATTTTTAAAGTTACTGTTTAATAAACAACAAATATGGAAATACATATAAATCGAATGCGATTTAAAACCCAAATAGTTATTAGCCTATTCATATAAATATTAAAAACTTAAAGTAATATGTTACCTCTTAAAAATAAAATGAATAATCAGTGAAAAAAGCAAACTTCCGGAAAAGCTAACTAACAAATTTGCCACTTAGTTCCACTTAGAGTTACAATGACTTCCCTTGAGTTAAACTGATTTCCTGTGCTCAAAACTAATTGCCTGCGACAGCGTGACGGAGGAGCTGCTGCTGAAGTGGCTTCAATTAGGAATTGACAATTGGCTTGAAAGCGTTCTCTTATCCTTTGCTCTCTTATCCTTTGCCCCCCACACAGTTTCTAACTGGCGCCGCCCTCATCCTGGCCATTGCTGGATCCTGTCACGCTGGTTTTGCGGCCACGTACGCTGGCTACCATCCAGCCTACGCCACCTATCAGGCTCCTGCTGTCTACCATGCCGCCCCAGTGGCTCATGCTCCGGCTGTGTACCATCAGGTGGCACCGGTGCTAACCAAGACGGTGATCCCGGCCGCAGCTCCTTTGTATACTAAGGCCTATGCTGTGCCCTCTCCGTTTGTCAAGGCAGCAGTGGCTGCTCCTCTGCCCGTGCCAGTGGTGAAGACTGTGGCACCTGTGGCTCCCGTAGCTGTTGCAGCTCCTGTCCTGAAGCAGGTCGAGTACGAGTCCTCGCCGCGCTATGACTTCTCCTATGGCGTCCACGATAGCATCACCGGAGATATCAAGAGCCAGGTGGAGACCCGTGACGGCGGTAATGTGGTGGGCTCCTATTCCGTCCTCGATGCCGATGGCTACAAGCGCACCGTGACCTACACTGCCGACGATATCAATGGATTCAACGCTGTGGTCCAGCGAGAGCCTGTGGTGGCTGCCCGAGCTCTGGCCACTCCTGTGGCTGTGGCTGCTCCTGTAGCTGTGGCTGCCCCTGCTCCCGTGGCCGTGGCTGCTCCTGCTCCCGTGACCGTGGCTGCTCCTGCTCCAGTTGCCTCGTTCCAATCTCCCATTTACTATCCCCACCAGCAGGTGTTTGCCCCGCAGCAGGTGCAGCAAGTGCAGCCAGGGCTGAGCAGCAGGGTGAGGTTGTGGAGGCTCCTGTGGCCACTCCGCCAGAGCTGGAACCCACGCCCATTGACTACAACGAGGAGCAGCAGCAGCAGGAGCAGCAGCAGCAGCAGCAGACGTATCCCCAGGATCAGCAGTTCCCGCCCTTCTCCCTTCTCCCGCCCCCGACAGCGATGACTCCGATGTGGTCGAGGCTCGATCCGCTCCAGAGTCCAGCAGCACCACCTCCACCACCGCAGCTCCAGTTACTGAGGAGACCAAGAAGTCGGCTTAGATTGCGTTGTCACTGGAAATACTGTTAAACGAATTACGAAAATAAATATTAAAATTGTCAACTATAATTTGAGTTTCTGGACACGTTTTTGTTGTTAAATAATTTTGGTAAGCTACTAAAAACTTAAAATAGATGTTCACTCTTCAAATTAGTTTAAAATAAACTTTCCTGTAGGTAAATTATTTGTTAGTCTAATAAAACTGCATAGGAATTATAAAAGACAAAATAGATTTCTGGAATGAGTGGTACACATTAAAATTTTGGAAAAAGTTGTTACAATTTGTTTCTGTTACTGATGAAAAATGAAAGTATAAGGGATTGAAATCTCTTCACTGTGTTGCAAGTATAATAGTATATAGTATAGTATAATTAACATTTAAAGTAATTAATAGATGAATATTGGACAAGCTTAAAAGCTAGTAAATTATTTCCTCTTTATAATTGACAGCCTGGTAGTTTTTTTTATCATTATCACACAATTAAATTAATTGATTTCCGTTAATCTTAGTAACAGATTAAGTCGAATTTATCATCAAGTAAACTAGAGAAAAAAAATTAACAAAATGTTAGCCACAAAAAGCAGGCACCGAAGTTAAAGCGCTTCTGAGTAATAATTGCGTTTAAAAAATGTTTGTTTTTTATTGTATTCACATACATAAATACAGTAGAGTTAAATGGGCATTAATGCGGCATTTGTTTGCATTTATTGCATTATTATTGATAAACGAGAGATTTAATAGCATTAGTTCCATGATACGCAATTTATTTAAGTTGAAAAGGGGGAATCCTGTGTAAAATGTTTGTCGCTTATTTTACTGACTTTAAAATAATAATAACCGCGAGGCGATTCAAAAAATCCTAATTAAATATCAGATTTTACTAATGCAATGCAATTTGTCTGTAATAAATGTTGGGATTTAAATATTGAGGTAATTACTGTCCACTTTTAAATAAATAGCATTATCTAGTAAATATTTAGTGGGTTCATTGATTTTAAACCTATATAAGAGATTCACTTTTTGTTGGTTATATCTTATTAAAACAAAGTATAAATAATAAATATTTTAAAGTTGCAATCCGCTCTTTTTGTTAATAAATGAAAAAGTTACTTTACCTTAATTAAGTCCCAAACAATAATTGCTTTTTTTATTTTATATATAATAATTTTCTTATTTAAATGCCAAGATATTTATGAGCTGCTAAATTCAAATTTGAATTTCCGGCAACCGTTAAAGTTACTTTGCAGATTCAGCCAGCGCTGAATGTGCACGGTGTGGATTGTATGAAATAAAATAGGGTCCACACTCCACATCCGTTAAATCAGCTGCTGGCAGCGATCTACTATACCTTCGATCTCAGAAAAAATGTATCATTGTTTATTATAAATAAATACTGAATTTTTATTATTTTTAACAAATAAATAACACAATTATTTATTTATTTTAGGTATTTTGTTTTAGAATTAGTTTTATATTTTTGTATTTTAATATATAAAATGATTACATTTAGTATTATTTATCGTTATCGGCGCATGCCAGCATATATATTTGCGATGAGATCTACCGATTCTAAAAAATGTTGAATAGCGCTTAGTGGAAATAATTATATTCATTTAAAGTAATTTTATTCTTTTAATAACATATTATTTATACTTTGGGATCCTTCTCCTAATTACTCTACAATGTGCTACATTAGTAGAGTGAAAATGATATGAATTTGTCCTCAAGTTACATCGTTTTCTGAAATTGTGTGGAATGTAGAGATTAAGCTTAAAATTTAACCACCAAAGAATTATTTCAATTTATTTATATAACTTAAAGCAATGAAAACTATAAGTGAATAGTCTAGATATTGTTGTAATACCACTAATCACATCTTGTCTTTTTTAGCTTCTTTTTAAAAGCTTTTTAAGCTTAAAAAAGAAACAAGTTGGCAGCACCAATTCCAGAAAGGGCTTGATTTTCAAATGAAACGGTGATCAAGTAAGCATTGAAACCAATTTCGCCTCGCTTTGTGTTCGGTCGTGCTTTCGTTTTGTCACAAGTTTGCCGGCTTTCAATGAGTTAACACAAAAAAGTGAATGTGAAATTTCGTCAAAATTTTCTGTGTAGTTAATTTATTTTAACAGAGCCCAAAAGCCAGCTCACGCATACAGGGCACGTGAAGGTAAGTAAATTCGTTGTATGTGTTTGTGTGTCCCTACGAGAGTCCCCTTTTGTCTTTCCGCCGTTAGCAGTTCTTCGATTCGCTGCTTCTCCCTCCCTTTCCGCACCTTTTCTCATACCTACCCTTGTTTCGCTTCTTTTCTCTTCCTTCTTTTCTTTGTTTCTGCTCTTTCTTACCATCCTTCGCACCTTGCGATGCTACAAATGGCGCCTATTGCAGCTGTTGCTTTGTTGTTGCCGGTACGCTCTGGCGAAGAAGAGAATGAGGATAAGAAAATAAGTGAAAAGGGAACCAAAAAATCAGCCCTTCCTCTTCTCTGCTTTTCTGCTTCTCCTTTGCTAACACATTTCTACAAATTATTTTTCAGTTGACAACTTGTCATCGTAGCAGAAAAACTAAAAAATAGAAGTACACAAAATTAACAATTAAGAAGGAAACTACACAAAAATCGTTAAAATGAGTAAGGCAGATTCGAACTCGCGTCAGGGCTCCTACAAAGCCAACTCCATCAACACCCAGGTAAGGGTCCATCTCGTTGGGATTCCCGTTCGCGGATCTAACCTCAATTTAACGTAGGACTCGCGCATGCGCCGCCATGAGGTGACCATCGAGTTGCGCAAGTCAAAGAAGGAGGACCAGATGTTCAAGCGCCGGAACATCAACGATGAAGATCTTACCTCGCCGCTAAAGGAGCTCAATGGCCAGTCGCCGGTGCAGCTATCTGTCGATGAGATCGTTGCTGCCATGAACAGCGAGGATCCGGAGCGCCAGTTCATCGGCATGCAGTCGGCACGCAAAATGTTGAGCCGGGAGCGTAATCCACCCATTGACCTGATGATCGGCCATGGCATCGTGCCCATTTGCATTCGCTTTCTACAGAACGCCAACAAGTGAGTAGAATGGGTTTTGAGGGAAGTCCGTCTGGAAGGCACTACTGATTCCTCCCTGCCTTCTCCAGCACCATGCTGCAGTTTGAGGCGGCCTGGGCTTTGACCAATATCGCCTCTGGTACCTCCGATCAGACGCGTTGCGTCATCGAGCACAATGCCGTGCCGCATTTCGTGGCCCTGCTACAGTCTCAGTCCATTAATCTGGCCGAGCAGGCCGTTTGGGCCTTGGGCAACATTGCCGGCGATGGAGCAGCAGCTCGCGATATTGTCATCCATCACAACGTCATCGACGGCATCTTGCCGTTAATCAATAACGAGACGCCGCTCTCATTTCTGCGCAACATCGTCTGGCTTATGTCCAATCTGTGCCGTAACAAGAATCCCTCGCCGCCGTTCGAGCAGGTGAAACGTCTTCTGCCAGTCCTATCACAATTGCTGCAAAGCCAGGACATTCAGGTACTGGCCGATGCCTGCTGGGCCCTGTCCTATGTGACGGACGATGACAACAGCAAGATCCAGGCTGTGGTCGATTCGGACGCCGTGCCACGCCTGGTCAAGCTCCTACAAATGGACGAGCCAAGCATCATCGTGCCTGCACTGCGCAGCGTAGGTAATATAGTGACTGGAACGGATCAACAGGTAAGGAAACTAAAAGAGCTGTTCCTTCAGGATTGCAATTCCTAATCTTATTTATTTCGCTTTGCCTAGACTGATGTAGTAATTGCCTCTGGGGGACTGCCCAGGCTGGGATACCTCCTGCAGCACAGCAAGAGCAACATTGTTAAGGAGGCTGCCTGGACAGTCAGCAACATAACGGCAGGTAATCAGAAGCAGATCCAGGCCGTGATTCAGGCTGGCATTTTCCAGCAGCTCCGCAACGTGCTGGAGAAGGGCGACTTCAAGGCCCAAAAGGAGGCTGCCTGGGCGGTGACAAATACCACAACCTCTGGCACGCCGGAGCAGATCGTCGATTTGATTGAAAAGTACAAAATCCTCAAGCCATTTATTGATCTGCTGGAAGCCAAGGATCCGCGCACCATCAAGGTGGTGCAGACTGGACTGTCGAATCTTTTCGCCCTCGCCGAGAAGTTGGGCGGCACCGAGAACCTCTGCCTGATGGTCGAGGAGATGGGCGGCCTGGACAAGCTGGAAACGCTGCAGCAACACGAAAACGAAGAGGTCTACAAAAAGGCCTACGCCATCATCGACACATACTTCAGTACCGGAGAAGATGAGGCCGAGCAGGAGCTGGCCCCACAGGAGGTCAACGGAGCCCTCGAGTTCAATGCCACTCAACCCAAGGCACCCGAAGGGGGCTACACTTTCTAGACTAACCCAAAAAAATCTTTTCGCCGCATACACTTAGTACATAAGACGCCCAGTTTCCTTTGAGCTGCGACCGCGCTCACACATTAATCTAATTGCCATTAGCAATGCCATTGCACAACAAACCCATACATTCCCAAATCACTAGGAGGCATGATATTCGATTCGGGCAGGCAGAAGATAATGCCATACACTAATTTTCGTTTCTCTTAAATCATTACCAACATTGTCTCTCAAAACTCCATAACCGCGTGTGATAAATTTCCGGCGATGCCTGGTAGAACGGATCTCTTGGCTTTCCACCGCTGCAATCTCCAGGACAGCTGTGCTGACCAGGTTGCTATCCAGAATCCGTATGCCATGGCCACCGCCGCCTGTATGTGTGCGTGCTGGGCTTTTTTACGAACTCACTTTCAAAACATTTTTAGGCTGTTAGTATTTATTTATGTAAACACGATATGCTTTTAATCCCCTATCGCAAGCATTACAACAATCACTCGAAACCCCATACATGCAAACCAGTGTCTCCATCCCAATTTATGAATTTGTATTCCAAGTTAATAAATATTGAATTGTTTGAATGATTATACTTGCATGGTTCGCTCTATCTTTAAAATTTTAATGAAATGGTCGAAAAAGCAGTTTATTCTTAGCATATTTTTGGGCATTAAGTAGGAATGAATACGCTGGCGGCGAAATGAAAATAAATAGAATGCTGCAGAGGCAGCCTTGGGAGATTAAAAGCTACCCTTCATTTCGGTGAGTAAACTTTTGCACAAAAAGTTGTGCTGTAGTTAATCCATGTTTTTTGTGTGTGTTTAAAATTGCAGCGTGTGGCGGCGGTAAGCGGATCATTTCGGTGTCGGCATCGGAAGATTAAGAGCTATCTTCCGCAGGCACACAAGTACCAGCAGCAGAAGTGTGGACACCAGCAGCGGCCCCAATCCCAAATGTTTCAGATTAGATAAAACGATTAAGCAGCAACGGACAACGATCCCCCAGCACAACTCATTCAGTAGAAAAGGGTGCCGGAGCGGCAGTAGCATCTCATCCACGCTCCGATATAAACACATCGCTCTCCATTCACATCGGATGCAGGCAGCAGCGCCATCACGGCAAACAAATTATAAAAATAGATTAAAAATTTAGCATCGGAAAAGTAGTTGCCGAAAATTAGACCGTCGAATTGTGGCCGGACGGAGAAGCTTTTCGCCTCCGTTGCCCAAGTGTCGTCATCGATGAGACGGGCAAATTTAATTGGTTTCCTTCTGTGTTCTTCTAATTTTGCCGAGCGGCAAGCGTTTAGTCGAATTTCGTCCGAAGCTGCGTGCGGGCGTGAATCTCTCTAAAGGCAACAAACTTTATATAATTGTTATCCGAACTTTATTTATTCGCCTTGCATTAATTGTGATTGTAGCCAAAGGTAAAGAGAGTGTATACCAAGTATTCTTTTAAGTACCAAATAATATCGAAAGACAGTGCTCACCACTCCCATCCGGTGCAGTAGGTTTTTTTGTTTTTTCAAAATTTTCACAACAAACTATTGTTGTGCGATGATGCCACTTGGAAAACGATTCTGTGATCTCATACACGCTTCATTGAAAATCCAGAGAGGATTTACACCATATGCCATTCCATTGCAGTGAAAAACTCAAAAAATACAAGACTAAAAATCGAAAACTAAACCCGCGCCGAAGCACTTTTGACAAAACTCATGATATAGTTAATTTCGTTTGGGGAAAAAAGCAACAGCAAAAATTGGCACACCAAAAATAAACAATAAACATCTAGCACTAGAGCATCGCTACTTTATAGCGACAGTGGGGGTACAACCATAAAAAATATATATATCTATTAGATACACTGGATGTACACTGCTATTTAAGTGGTTTTTCTAATTTTTAAAAAGCTGGAAGTGGTAAATAATATGAAAATTTTCAATTTATTTTATATATCTCTGAAAAAATTCAAAATATCTTTGGAAATAAGTATTAATCATGATTAAATGGAGAAGGAAATTTGAAAGATTGTCGCTTTCTGGCTTATCTAGTGAACAAGTCTGTATGATATACATGTCTTTCTAGTTGCAGTACTGAAGTACTTTTTCTTCCTGTGTAGTAGTAGTGGTGCGCTTGATTTTGAAGCGGAAAACGGCTTTTCGTTCCGTTTTATTCTCCAGTTTTCGGGTTGGGGGCGCATTTTGTTTGTTGATGTGGCAATTAAGTGTGCAAGTGTGCGCGTCGCATAGAAATCGGCATGCAGAGCTGCAGCACCACCGGATCGGGAAGCTATATAGAGGGTGGGTAGAGTGGGTGGGACTGGGAGTGGGCGTGGGTGGTGGCCACAACCGAACGGAGACGGCACCCGAAATTCGCGTGAAATTAAAAGTTGCCGCAAATATATAGCCGCAGCACTGTCACAAAGTTTTCCGCCTCGGCGTTTCCGCTTTGTTTACTTGCCGAAAATAGTGTCAAGTTTGGTCTAGTGTTGCTCTCTTGTTCATTTTATTTATTCAAGGCGTTTCTTTTGTGTGTGCACACAACACACACACTCTGTGTGTGTTGTTCATGTTTGGTGTGTGTTTTTGTTCGTTCACTCGCTCTCGAAATGAAATGAAATGGAAGACAACAATTCACATTTTCATTACAAAATGCACTTCAAGGGCCAAGGTGAATTTAAATAGAATTTAATGTATCTAATGGCTATAATTTTCAAACTATATTTCTTTTGCTTTAGTTTGGTCTTTAAAGCATTTCGGTTGGAGGCTACTAATATATTGTACATTTGCAAAAGTTTACTTTACTTGCCCATAAAACGCTGGCACACATGTGTTTTGCATTATGCCGAAGGGCATTTTTATGCTAAACAAGTACTTTTTGATAGATCAACCATGTGGAGGCGATAAAAGCAATATTAATAACAATTTATACTACACTGGCTGTGATGGACAATGGCGGAAAATCGATGTAATTTTTGTTGTTGTAAGGTGTCAGAAATAAATAGGAGATTTAATTTAGAAGTGTTAACTAAGGAATGCTGATGCATACATATTTGTATATATTTCATAAAAATTCAATTATATTTACAAATAATTAATATAATATTCATCTTACAGATCCGATATACACAGAATGAGTGAAGCGAGTAACCCAGTTTCGAGCATTGCTCCCTATGTATCCAAAATAAGTGCTGAAATCTATCACAGCATAGCCACCAGTTACATAGATCAGAACCTGGTCATATCCCCCTATTGCTGGAGTCCATTCTGGCCCTTTTGTATCTGGGCTCGGATGGAGCCACGGCCGAGGAGTTGCAGAAGTTGCTGCGGCTAAAGGAGCGCTTTCCCAGCAACGCCAAAATGGCCAACTTTTATGCCTCGGAATTGGCCAACATCTCGGGTGATGCCGATACCCGGTTACAGCTGCAAAACCGACTGATGCTCCAGTCCAAGGATAACTCCAGTGTGGCCGAGGACTTTCAGAAGATAGCACAAACCTATTTCATGCCACAGCCGAGAGCCTTGACCTGGAGCAGACGGAGAAGCTGCGTCGCCATATCAACGAACAGATCCTGTCCGGAGTGGGTGGAGGAACCTGGCAGCAGGTTCAGGTGGAGAGCAGTTCTGCTGCTAAAATCCTACTCCTGCTGGCGGCGAATCTGCAGAGTAAATGGTTCCTGCCCTTCAGCGCCTACCGGACGGGTCTATATGAGTTCCACAGCGGCAACCAGGCGAAATCGGTGGCCATGCTCTTTGATGATGATATGTTTGTGAAGTTTGCGGAGCTGCGGGACTTGGATGCCCGTGCCATTGAGCTGCCGTACGAGCATGCGGAGGAGTTGTCCATGCTGCTCATCCTGCCCAATCAGAGAGACGGCCTGGCGACGCTGGTGGAGCAGCTGCGTGGCCAGGATTTGGGCGCAGTGCAGCAGCGCATGCAGATGGAGGGAGTGCAGGTGCTGCTGCCCAAATTCAGTATCGATTTCGAGTGCAGTCTGCGGCAGCCCCTAAAGCAGGTCAGTGGTATCAATCAGTGCCCCCAGTATGTATGCATTTCCGGTGGCCAGTAATTAAAAAACCATTTTGATTTGCAGCTCGGCTTCGAGGAGATATTCGCGGCATCGGCGAATTTTAAGCATTTGCATCCCGCTGCCAATCTGCCCGTGGTCGATGTTCTCCAGAAGCTGCGCATCAATTTAAATGAATCTGGTTCCGGATCCGAACAGCCACGCATTGCAACAGGTATCGAGTCTCGGCGAAACCCTTAAAAATACACACACATCTCTCACACACACTCGACCTCGTTTCAGAATATAAACCCATTGTGATCAGCAATTCCTCCCGCCAGAAATTCTTCCGAGCTGACCATCCATTTTTCTTTGCCATCCGCAGTGAGAATGTTACGTATCTGGTGGGTCATGTGGTTAGCTTTTAAGTTCACACGGGAAAGTGAAAGGTTTGTGCAATAACTTGTATGAAATAAGTAAAATACAACTAATAATTAATAAATATTTAAAGAGCCGAGAGGATTGCTTCGTGGTGTTTGTATACCCCTGTAGGGTATTGCACTTTTATTTAGAAGCTTGTAAAGAAATTAAATAACTTATATTTTTTGTAACATATATTTTGACATCATAGTAGAAGGGTTCATTTATTTTTCCAACATTAAACGGCCAGTAATAATGAGCAAATTCCTCAAATTCCTTACCTAATTCTGGTGATTTCCTTTCACTTGGCTCTAAGCTCACTCACAAGCTTAACACGCTTCAGGCTTTACTCCTAAGTACATCTAAATGACCAGAAATTCCAACACTATTAGAAACAATCCCACAAAAAGGACCCCTTGACAACGAAGGACTAAGTATTTCTAATCCCATCTTTATGCTCCCCTTAAAACCTCCAATTAAAGAAAAACACAAAAACTTGTTTTGTTCATAGATTTTCTAACAAGAGTCTTGAGTTTATTTAAAGATATATATCTGTATAATTTGTTTTGTTCCAGAAATAGTCCTGTGTTATGTTTAATAGTTTTACAATTATTGTATTTTGTAGGTTTTTTTTTATTTTCTGTTTTATTCTTTGTTTCTTAATGGGGCTTAATTTTGCATTATTTCTAGGAAAACTTTAAATGGAATCAAAAACTTTGTCACACCTTGCCGTGTTTTCTCGCTCATTAATTTATTAATCATGTTCATTGTGTTTTCATCTCAATAGGCCGTTTTGTAAATCTAGCTAAAAAGTTATCGTTAGTTTAAATTCTTTCATTCGGTTTTCAATATGCAATGACGTTAAGTTAAATTTGATTTCTAATTGTATGAGTTTAGTTATGATTGATGTCCAACGCTTAATCCTTTATTTGGGACATCGAAAAAAAGACTGACTTAACGTAAGACCTAAACTCATGTTGCTTTTCCCAACCAACTGATAACACATCGAAAAGCCCCGGGTGTTCATATTAATCTTATTTGAATATTCACAGAGTTATCTACTGTAGGTGTTTTCTTTTGTTTTGAAATTTGATTTACACTTATTTACAGCTCTTGACGAGAAAAACGAAGCCTCTTAAATGCATCTTAGTGTCAGTTTTGGCCTATAAATGCCTCTCAACTTGCTATTGCTATTGTTTCTGCTGGCCATCATCACTGGTGGGCGCCGATGGCCCTCCTCCTCCTCCTCCTCCTCCGGCTCCATCTGCGGCATCCATGGCCCCCCTGTTGAGCAAGTAGTCCAGATCGAGGGTGATGCGATCCAGCGTTGCATCATTGCCAGCTCCACCCCCTCCGCCACTCTGCGTCGGAGTGGGTGTGGCTGCCGTGGTCGTCGCCGTGCTAGTGACTGTGGATGTGGAGACAACGGCTGCCACCATGGTAGGCAGCAGGGGGTCAAAGGTGGTGCGCGATGTAGGCTCCAAGATGGTCACTCGCTTCTGTGTCTTGGGTGTCTGCGTGGGCAGGGACATCGGTGGCATGGATGCTCCACTCAAATTCCCACTGATGGTCGGTGGGGGCGGCAACTGGGGAGCCGGCATGCTCAGGATTAGGGGACTGGGCACGAAGTCCACATAGGGATTATGCTGCAGCGGAACATAATGTGAAGTGCTGGTGGCCGTGGGCATAATGGCACTGGTGTGAATGCCGATTATGCTGTCTGTGGGAGGCAGGGAGAGAGAGAGGCTATTAGACTCTAGATAATGATTAATGCAGGTCCATGTGGGTATATTCATCCCGTTCTGAACGTATAATATAACGATGATGTTAATAATGACAATGGGAATCAGTGTCTCAGTGTCAGAGTTTAAATTCAATATTCCTATCATTAAAATAAGGCTTACCTGCTGCCACGCCCTGTAAATATCGAGCGTCTCCACGCCCACGAACTCTCCACATGGCCCGGTTCGGTAGTGTGCCGGCTGCCGGTGTAACGTTCTCCTGCCCAGGCTTCCTGTGAATCCACCCACGCTCACTCCCATATTCACGCCCACCCCCATGGTGTAGGCATCATAACCGGGTCCGCCACCCAACAAAGCACAGCAACGGGTGTCCGGCGATGGGGCCACGGACAGGGGCAACGGCTGGTGCTGCTGGTGGTCACCAAGGAAGGTCTCCGCCGCTCCATCAGCGCCCGGCTGGCAGCGAGGCGCTGTCGAGATGATTGTCAACGGCAGTGGCACGCCGGAGGAGACCGGTGCTCCGGACAGCTCCAGGCCCACCTTCGGCTGCAGGGGCGGAGCGCAGCCGGCTGACGAGGCCAAGGATCCGACGGCTGCTGCGGAGGACACGGCTGCGCTTGACATTGACAGCGACACCGCACAGTCGTTCTCCTTCTCCTTGTCGTGATTGGTATAGACTGTAGGAGAAATGAGGCGAAAGGGATTCAGATTAGGCATTTTGGACCGAGAATCGAAGCTGACTTGGCAGGAACCTACAGCTCAGCGGACTGTTGACATTGGCCGTCGTCGTGGTGGTGCAGTAGTTCTCGTCCAGGCTGCTCCGGCTCGTGTTGAATTTGGCCTGTTTCAGGGAACTGTTCTGGCTGCTCCCGTTGCTGCTGAGGAAGGGCGGTCCACGCAGCTGGCTCTCGGCCTTGACGACGAAGCAGATGAGGATGGCCGAGCCCTGAAATTGGCAGATGGGAGATGTTGGCGATTGAATCATTGCAATGATTGCCGCATAAACTCTGGGACAGGTCCGGTCCCATCTGGGCTGACCCTAATAAAATGCGTGTGTCAACGACGGTATGGGTCCATGCCCCAAATTGAGTCATTAAGCAATGGGAGAAGCCCCTTCGATTATAGTCAAGGTGGACTCACTCTCTCTCTGTCCTTTTCGTAGTGAAATCAAGCCAAGCGATTAGGAAATTAAATGCATGGCCAAAAGGCGGCCATAAATCGATGCTAAGCAATATGGGCCATATAAGGCATGGCGACTATATTATGTCCCCTTTCATGAGCGGAATTTATGGGCGGCATGCACCGAATTCCAGGCTCCAGAAAGGGATTTACGAAACAGAATTAATTGCGAAATTAGCGGAAGAGTCTTTGTTTCGAATTGTACTAATTGTAGTCAAGCATGTTTCAAGCGAGGATATCGAGTTTAAGTAGCTGAAGAGATTATGCAGAGAAAAAACTACAATTTAAATTCGCTTTCAAAATCTTAGAAATTATAAAGAATTTGATATATGAAGAGTCAAAATATTTTTAAGTTTACACAAAGTAAAGAATGTCGCCACTTTAGTCACAGTTTTTCACACTTGAATGGATATATAATATAAGGAGGGGCTAGTTTTAAGCTTCTTTAGAAACTTGTAATTGAGACTTCTACCACTCAGAACATAAAAGAATCCCTGGAATACTAATCGAATGACATTAATAGCCGATTTTGACTGTATTTCTTTCTCTGTGTAATGTCTGACTTGGCCAGTGTTTAAATAATTAAATGGCAACTAAAACAGACAGAGGAGCAATGCCTAATGCCCAGGTCCACGCCTCCCCCAACACAATCAAAGTGATTTTGGTGCACATTAATAGTCCGGTGTCCGGAGTCTGGAATGTAGAGGTTGGAGTCTGGAGTCCGGAGTACGGACCAGCAGGAACTGAGCACGAGAGGGTTGTAGACATTGCGGTTGCGATCTGAGGAGGCGTCTCGACCTAATTTGTTTGTGTTTGAATTTGAATGTGCTGTGCACGCGTTGCGTATACGCCGAGTGGTACACACACTCACTCAGTTGCTTTCACGGCTTCCCACATCAAAGTGTGTGCGTGTAATTATGTGATTAGTTTTGCAAGGATACACCAGCCACCACCGCCCGTGCAGATAATTGTTTATTTAATTGGATTGAGCTGATTGCCGGGCGTGCGCAGAGCGTTAAACGCTTTAATTCCCATCAGATGGATGGGAAAAATGAAATAGGTGTCCGTCCTTCCATATAGAGAACCCCTCCAAGTGCCAAGGTGGATAAGTCAAGCGCACTTATTATATTTGCACAGCAAATCAACAAGAAGTGGAATAAAATGGCAACAATACCGGGACGCCGGTGTAATCGTGAACTGAAGTGAAGTGTACTAAAGTGATGTGAAGTAAGGGGAAAGTGAAGTGCCTGTCGGGGCCAAGTGTCAAAGGCAAGTGCAAAATAAATACAGGAAAAAGGCTTCTTTCTCTCAGTTTCTCCCTTTGATCAGGCAGGCAGTTAATGCAGTCAGCTCGGGGTCGGCCCACTCTCGCTTTCTTCGCCGATTTTGCATGCATAATTTGCACGGCAGGTGTAAAAATATGCAGGCTTTACACTTTGATAAAATATGCAACTTAAATAAGTCGTCGGAAATAAAAACGAAATGGGATTTGCATAAGCCTCGGCAGCAGCAGCATCAGCAACAGCCATCAGCGGGAAACATGTTTGATGGCATCCGTTCCTAATAGTTTCCCCGTCAATTGGAGCGGCAAATGGGATTTGCAGCTAAATCAAACATCCGACCCTCGAAACTCGAAACTGTAATGGTTATCGTAATCCCAGCCTGGCAGGTGAGCTCCATCTCTCTCTCTCTGTGTCTCTATATATATTTTAATTGATTTGCAATTGTTGGGATAATGTCCTCTACTAACTTACCAATATTATGCACGATATGCCAAACGGATATGCCCACAAAGTATCCGGTGATGAATTAACATAAACGATGAAGCACCCATCGCTGCAGAGCTTGGCCAGCAGCAGTCCTCCAGCCCGGTAGAGTAATCCAAAGCTGTGTGAATATATTAAATTAGACGCAAGAATGGAGAAAGGGATCAAAGTTAGAATCAGAATCACAGCCGGAATCGGAGCAATTGTTTTGTTTCGCTTCCGTTTTTTTTTATCAGATTAGCCGCCGGGACAGGGAAAATGGGAAATGGGCAAAGGACCATTAAGAACTAAGTACTTTCCTGGGTCTCTTTCGGCTGCCCGTTTCCCTTTTTTATCCCCATCAAAAGAGCCTTTTAACTTACCGCCTGCGCAAAGCCAGATTGAATTTATCCAACGGATGCGTATGCACATTGCGATTCTTGTGCCGCAACCACAAAAGTTTCTTCATTAAAATGGCAAACAGCGCAAAGAAGAGCAGGATGAAGAGCAAATCGATGCAGGCGAACAGGAGGAAGCTCAGCGAAGGCGACGACGACGACGACGACGATGATGATGTTGAAGTGGCATCGCCCAGACCGGAAGTTAAAGGCGCAGCCACCGCGGAAACGGAAGTGGCAAAGGAGGTAGAGCTGCTGCGACCCAAACTCCAAGTGGCGGCCAACTGCTGCTGCTGCTGCTGTTGCTGTGACGAGATGGAGCTGTAGCTGTGTCCGCCTGTGATTGATGACGCCGATGTGGCCACATCATCGGGCGATGACGTCTCTGTCGTTGCGCTACTTCCATTGCCCAGCAGTGCCTCCGATTCAAGCAGTAAATTATCGCCATTCAGTAGCGAATGCGTTCCATAGTAGCCGCCATCTAGTTCATCAGATCCTCCACCACCTCCTCCTCCTCCGCCATCCGTCTTGGCATCCGCTGAGCTAGCTCCCGGCAACCATAGCACCTCCAGCCACCAATGGCGCGGCCATTGGCCAATGATGCTGCAGATTAGGGGGGCAGCCACGGCAAAGAGCAACGGCAGCAGCCAACTGATGCCAATGGCGCCACGTATTCCCGCCGATCCGCCCTGCAGTGGAAGGGAGGAGGACGTGGTCTTGGGTGGCGGTCGGTGGGGTCTGGCGGACCCACTGCTGGCCCCCGTCACTGCTGCTGGCGGCGACTGTGCCCGTATCTGTGTGATGTTGCTCAGACTCCCCAGCTCACGCTCGCGGTCCTTTTCACGCTCCTGCACCCGTTCCCTCTTCGTCGGCGTCGCCGGCTTGCTGCCAATCTGCAGATACTTCTTCGGCATCAGCTCCGTGTGGATGGCCAAGGCAATCGCAATCAGCGTCGAGATGCCAAGCAACAACAGCGATGCCAGCGAGCTGCTAATGATGGCGTGCCAGTTCTGCAAGAGGAAATTATGAACGGCCGTTAATAAGGAAATGGAGTGCTTTGACGGCTCGGCTGCAACATCGTTATTTTTAATTAAATATAAAAAGTTGTCATCGTGCCGCATCAGCATCAGCAGTGGCGATGGCAGTGGCAGTGGCAGTGGCAGTGGCAGTGGCAGCAGCATGGAAAGCCAAAGAAGCCATTTGGTAGGATTTTCCCTGCACACTCTAATGGTGACATTTTCGCGTAACATTTTTATTACACTTCTTCAAAATATAAACCCACAGCCATCCCACGCCTCGGTGACCGGACCTTGGCTATTAAAAAGTTGTAAACAATTTGTCAAGCATTATATATACACTTTTTTTCGGACCCCATTTTCATGACAAATTAGAGAGCAATGTCCAGAAAATACTAGAACATAAACATGGTTCTTAAATTGCATTAACTGAAATCTTAGGACTTTAGGCAGGGGGAAATTAATAATATTATGAGTAGATAAACAAATTTAATATACTTTATTCTTTCCTGCTGGAGCAGTCTATTTACGTCTATACATATTATTAATATTATAAAATCAAGAGCCTCAAGAAGTGAAATATAAATAAAACAATAATGAAAATAGTAGCAATCTTCGGGAAGCCCTTATATGATTGAAATCGTATAAATCATCATAACTAAGCCAAAAACTCATTAACTTCCATTCGAAAAGCTTTCCTATGTTAGTTTTTATAAGGTTAAGAAATCTGCATACTCAATTTAAAATTTAAGAAACTTATAATTTTGATAAATTTTTGACAATTTTAACGACGTAACCCATTATAAAATTTTGAAAATTTTGAACAAAATAGATTTTGACCGGACAAAGCTAGATCGATGCGGCTCTTCATGCTGATCAAGAATATATGATTTATACGGTCGGAAATGATTCCTTCACTGCGTAACAAGCTTTTGGCTCCAATTAAAATACCCTTCAAGGGTACACCTAAGCGTATACGTATTTTTTATAATAATTAAATTATTATTTATCATTTCTTATATTTCCAAGAGAACTCTTTATATATAGCTTTGGCAGAAGTCTAAATTATGATTCCTATTATAATAAAATTATGCAAACTTAAATAAAAATAAAGTTTTTTAATAATTTATCAAAATTGTTTAATTAAATTAGGTATATAAAGAACACCTCCAATTACATTTCTCAGACTCTGCTCATAACTTGGCCAATCTTAAAGCTTAGAGACATTGGCAGGCAGCTGACATTGAACGACAGTTGTCTTCGTAATCATCTTCCTTGAGCCTTCGGGCCAAATGTGAGACAAACATTATGTCAACTTTTTAATTTTCAATTTACCATCCGAATGCGAATGGGAAATGCTTCCACTCGGTTTGCTTCGCCACGAAAAAATTATGAGTTAAGTGCGCTTAAAAGCTTTCGCCTTTCACATGTTCAGCTGCAGTGCCACGCCCCCGGCCACCGTGGGGCTTGCGGGTGGGCGCACGGGTCGTATGCGTAATTTATGTTTTCTTATTTATTTATTGTTTTTTTCTGCTTATTTTTTCGTTTCGCTTAACTGCTGCTGCTGTGAAATTGTATTTTATTTATGCTCGCAAATATATGCAATAAGTAAAATGAATATTTTAATTGTATTTATTGTGGCATTGCGTGGGCGTGGCCGTGGTCGTGGTCGTTGGCTGGTGCTGCGGTTGACGTCCGTCGCCAATGGCGACGACATCTTCCACAGTATCAGCTCCAGCTCCAGCTCCACCTCCATCAGCTGGAGCCACTCCTGATGCTGTGACACGTGTTCCAAGCCATTAAATTTGCATGTGTGTGTACTTTTTAATAAAGTTGCCCCGGCCGCGTGTGCCCGCAATTAATGTGCAATAATAATAATATGAAAAACAACAATAATAATAATAATAATAATAAGTGCGTATGCGCGTGTTGCGTTAAGACAAAGTTTTCCTTTTGGCCAGAAAGTCCTGCGAAATGCGCATTGTGCAACCAAGCCACAGGCTCCGGATCCTGCTGACGTAAGTTGCTCATTAACTTGGCCAACACGGAGGTGGCACTGCTCCTGCCATTGCCCCAAGGCGGGGGCCTAGGCCACGTTTATTTTATTTTCCGGACAACACATTGGAGCGTCCTCCTAGAGCAAACGTTTATTATTCAAGAATTTCGATGCTGCAATCCTTTGAGACCGAATACTTCACCGTTTTGCCACAGCCCGTATTGCGTGTGGCCATAACGTCGATGCAGATAGCGTTTGCTCCTCCTGCCCCCATCCTAGGTTCCCCCGGTGAGCCGTGTGTGGTGTCCATGCTCGGATACACACAGGCATCTTTGTGCTAGATGGAGGAGGCAGCAGTGTCGTTCGTTTGCCTTTGTCAGCTTTTCGAGAATTGCTTGGCTCTGTAAATTCCCCCCACCCAGTGGATCCACAGGGAGAAATGCCTGTCTTTTGGATTATTCATGGAAAAGGATATTCATACATTTTGTACATATTTTTTCCGAGTGTATTGTCTCCGTTTTTCATTTGGCAACGCTTAAACCTTTCCATATTGCGTCCTCGCCTCCTGTGCCGCATCCATATCTGCAAATGCCTGAGCCTTTGTCGTCCTTTCGCTGTGTCGTACACAATGTTTTATTTGTTTTTCATTCGTTTATTGAGCCGTTGTTTCCACTGCGGACCAGTTTATTACTAATTCAAAAATGTTATTTCTTGTTAGAGCTTTGCAGTTGCTTCTTTTCTGTTCGTTTTTTTCGTTACCTCATCCGATCCCCGGGACTAGGCAGCGCGCAAGTTTATTCGTTCGTTTTACGTTTATAATTTAGGCGGCTGGCTGGGGACTTCCTCCCGGAACCTTGGCCACTGTGGACGAGTGTTGCATATGCCCCTTCAACGGGCTCGGGTTAGTTGTATAGCGTCTTCCCATTAACATTTTCCCACTTCAAAACGTCTGTGAATGAGAATGTGCGTTTATAAATATTAATTTCGATCCCGCGCTCCTTGGAGCCTCCTGCCGACCCGCGTCGTGCATTGTTGACTTTTAATTTCCTTCCAAAAGGAGCTCGACGCCAACAGGTTAGGGAATTGTTTTCCATGAATTTTCCGTTTGGCTGCCACGAGAACGAAAACTAAATGTAAATTATTTGCTTTGTTGTCCACCGAACTCGCGCACACTCTGGCTCTGGGTTCGCATTCCTGTGTCCTGGTAACGACCTGCAGACGACACGCTAATTTGTTTTGATGATGATTACGGATTTTTCCCTGGCCGTGATTATTATTTGAAAAGTCGTTGGCCGTCGGTGATTGCCATTGCCGTGGGAATGGGCACCGCAAATAATTACAACTTAAGGGTTTGCGCCTGCTAGTTTAAGCCCCTTGGGGATTGGTCCCATTCCATCTCATCTGTGTCTCCCGATTGCCACCCGGCGTCCTGGTTCAGGAGGAGCTGTATACAGCTCCTTTGTTCCCCTTGCAACACTTTTTGTGTTATTATTTCTCCGGCGGCTCCTTTCGGAGTCTTTCTCCTGCTTCGTTCCAGAGAATGTTTGGTTTTGGTTTTCGGGTTGCTTTGCTTTCAGCTTGGCTTTCCCGCACTTCGTTTTACTTGTTTATTTATTTTGGCGTAATTAAATTTCACGCTTTGGTTCTTTTTTTTGTATTTGGTTCTTGCTTCTTATTCCACCGCGTTCCCATTGCAGGCTCTCAAAGGCTTTGTTTTAAAGTGCCACAGAGAGAACACACTGGCGCATTTAAATGCATTTAAAATGTGCACTCACGGAAAACAAAAAGGTATAATAAATAATATAATATAATTCTTAATCCTTTGCTTAAATTGTAATAGCTTTTCACATATAATATATCCTTTGCTCCTTTAACTCTGCGAATTACTCACCACTGGCAGCATTTTCATGAAGCCCAGCAAGTAGATGAGCATCACACTCGATGTGGAGATGCAGAACTGCATCTTGAGGAACGTGACCGCGCACTTGCGATTGCACCAGATGGGCACCAGGATGAGGAGCGCCGAGCCGCACTGGAGGAGGCAGCAGGCACAGCTGGCTATCACGAAGATGGGACGCTGCGGGACATGAGACGGTGAGGCCTGTGAATGGAAAACCAAAAGAAAAAAAAGTAGAGGAACAATTAGCAATTCAAAATAGCTGCAAATCCGAAGGCCAGCTACAGCCGGCCAAAGTCCTGTTTGGCTGCCGCGGAGGCGTATTCAAATTTGAGCACGGAAGCAAGCAAAATCGGAACGAGGCTCTAAAATAGCACAAAAAACTCTCTGTCCACCATCCGCGAGTGAAAGCTAGGAAATTTAAGAATTTACAAGCAGAAAAAATTGCTTAACTGGGTTCACTGAGTTTTCTAAATTTATGCTTCAACTAAAATACTTTATTGTTGTCATAGAAAATACTTCTTAAATCAAGGTGTGACCCAAAGAAATAGAAGAACGATTAAAAACCCAGTGAATCCTTGAGTAAAGCCCCTGCAGGTATTTTAATCGTTGAACTATATCCGCCGCACAATGGAAAATCCGAGCCCAGCTGGGCTGCATTTGGGGCAAGTTCATGGCGACCAAGGGAAGCGGAAATGCGGACTTTGCCACGAAGAATGGGACTTGGACTCTCCAGGTTGGAGGCCACTAAATGGCAGGTCCTAAAAGTGCCATAAATCATAGCAGGGGAGCGTTGGCTTTCCACTTTAGTACACGTGAATAGCATGAATTGGGCAGCTGAAAGCCGGAATCAAAGAAAATAAAAAAGAAAATCTAGGCAGGCAATGGCCTTGGCGACCTTGGTGACCCTGGCTTACATTTTGCTGCCGCTTGGTGAGCATAACCACGTAGGTTCCGGACAGGGGGCAGATGCAACGCGTTATGTTGGCCATCAAATGCTTGGTGATGCACAGATCCGAGCGCCACGTGGAATCGAAGGAGGCCTTGTAGTCGTGCCTGCAATCGGAGCAATCGGAGATGTAATGGCGCTTTAAGTGACAGACTTATCCATCTTACCCACAAACGGCCACCCAATCGCCCGTTCTGGGCACACTCTCGTGCTGAAAGATGATCTCACGTGACCAGCCTCGAAGGGCAGGTCCAATGGTTCGCGAAAGTTGTCGTTGGAGCGATTGGACTGAAAGAGCCAGGTTTGGATGATGCGCGAAGCCAGCACATAATCAGAATCCCGGGGGTCGCTGAAAATGAGAGGAGAAGAGTGGTTAAAAAGCTATAATTAATAACTTAACTATTCTTATTCGAATTACTTAAAACATAAATCCCAAGTTGACTCAAGTCCTTTGGTAGTTACCAAACATTTGCTTAAGCCACTAAAGTAGTGGAAATTATACAGCTCCTTGCTAATCTGATGCAGCCACTCTCAGGACTCATCTTTTATTTAGCTGCCTTAATCAAGATTTGATAACGTCCTGTTTTGCTGTTCATGTCCCTCCGGAAAACACACTGTCTTCTCCTCCTTCACCATATCGTCCTTGATATTTCCTTTTGTATAAAGCAGCTGCATATTTGCATTTTGCTTACTGTCGGGGAATTACACTCGTTGCTGTGGTATTGTTGCTTCTGTCGTCCTTTTCCCCGAACTGGCTTGTAATACGCTTAAGCCAAGGAAGCCGTCTTGGAGACTGACAGCAGTTGGCATTACACATATTTGAGGCTCTGGGCAAACATGGCTTACGAATTATACATCGGTGCCCACAAGAAGCCGAGCAAAGGATTTGAGAAAATAGAAGACAACCACTTTCCCGGCATTAAATCGCAGAATTAAACATGGGCGCGCTGCACAAGTGCAATAGCGTTAATCCCTAAGTTTTCCTTAAGGACCCATCAGTACTGGCAACCGACGAGTCTCGTTTAAATTTCGAAAGTTTCTTCCAAAAACTTTGGCCTCACAAACTATTAGGCATTGAACTTGAGGGGGGAAAACTCACCTGCCACGCGTGTAGTATGTCTTGGGCAGGAAACTCTTCAGATTCTTGTACGAGATGACCGAGGCGAAGATCGTCGAGTTGGCCATGATGTGCAGCAGGCGAGCAGAGAGTCCAATGTCCATGTACAGCTGATCCGAGAACAAATCCTCGCTAGAAAAACACAGAGAGACAGAGAAACGCATGAGCCGCCATTGCCGTAAATCAAACAAAATGGTTCGCCGCCTGCACTTAGGGCACTTAATTAGCTAAATTAGACACTTGGAAGCCGGGAGCTCAGAGCTGGGAGCGGGAGCCAGCAAAATGGAAATACCTGCCCGGAAAAGGACAAGGTCTTCTCCATCTTGGCTGCAAGTTTTGCTGGCAAAAAGAAAAGCGAAAGGAGCATTCGCAGCGTTCAACTTTTATGAGCCATTCTTCATGCTCCGACCTCGCCTGTTTTATGCATTTTTTATTTATGTTTGCTCATAAAATAAATTTTCCATTAAGAGCGCCGCCGGCAGGAGGGGGAAATCGTTTTCCCTTCGTCGCATATATTAATCACGGGGGCCGTAAAATGAAGTTTACTGTTGCAAATTTGCATTTTGCCCCATTCGTAATTAGAAATTATAGCCGTTGAATCAGTCGTGTGTCTGATTTCATTTACGTGCCATTTATCTGCCATCAGGCGGGTGTCTGGCTTTTACCAGCTTTGCAAACCACAAGAACTCACCCATAGATGCGTAAATTGAATGGCAGCGTTTTCACCGACGTCATGTAAATGCGCAGCGAGTTCAGCCGGTCCAGTGACAGCGTGTCCTCATCGACTGTCAGGATGCTCGTGCCGGCACCACCTCCTCCTGCTCCTGCTCCTGCTCCTGCTCCTGCGCCTGCTCCCCTGGAATCTGGACCGCCACCGCTGCCTCCGGCTCGGTTAGCTTGCAGGCTGCCCGGAGCTCCAGCTGAAATCTCATTGCCCCACCTGACCCGCTGTCGGAGCCGCGAGCTCCTGGCCCGGAGCTGCCTGTGCCCTGTGCGGTCAGCTGGTCAGTGGAGCTGTCACCTGCCGATGGCTGACTGCTGCTGCTCCCGCTCCCCGCTGGTCGATGTGGCCAATTGGGAGGCCGCGATGGTCTCGCGATTCAGTGCCGCCGATTGCGTGAGCAGCTGCAGCTTTTTAATTTGCTGAAAGGGAAATAAAGGGGAGAAAAATGGCCGGTGAATAATGGTTTCCGGTTGCTTTTCTTTTTTTTAACAATAAATCATCCAGAGGGTTAAAAGGAATCTTTTGGGACAACTTTAAATGTTTAAATACCTTTTTAAATATTTAAAAACAAGAGTTCTTTCGCCAGTTTGGTTAAAAGTGAATTAAATATCTACTTTCCCATTTTTTTCTTCTTAAGTTTAAAATATAATAACTTTTGCCCCAGCCAAGCTCAAGATATTGGTAATATTGTAAGTTCTTGCTGCTTATTTGCTTTTCTTGGCCATAGAACTTATTTGTTCATATTTTAACAAGCCACAAACTGGACGATATTTGAGCCATTGTCAATGCAGTCAAGAGGATAGGTGGTTCCGATAAAGCAAACCAGCATATGCCAACCATGTGATATTTACCCTGGACCCCAAGCCCCAAGCCCCACAGAGAGCCCTTGTCAACACAATCGGATAGGTTCATAGACGAACTTTGGCCGAAATCAATGCCACAATGGGGGCTGGGTTGGCCAACTTGGTTGCCGCTGGCGATGGCGATGTCGATGGCTATGTGGCATATTTTCAGGCTGCCAGAAAAGCAACAGAAAGCGCAGTCAATGAACCCAGCCATAAAAATCATAAATTGTTACGTTCTCGAGTGCAGTTACAAAGCCATAAACCGAGGCCAATAAGCAGGATCCAACTACAGTACATCAGAGTTGGCAGGCAACGCACAAGCACTGAGAGAAATTGTTCCGGATTTTCGAAAATAATAGGGTTTTTTGCTGAAACTATTTTAAATAATAAGAAAAATATTTGCACTTTTAAGAAAAATGTTTTTAAAGTATATCTTAGAATTTAAGTTGGAAAAATTGAAATCAAAGAGCAAGCAGTAAAGTGGTATTTGGGTATTCAATTTCAATCAGAAGCTTGAAACGCAGTGAAGGAGTCATTTCCGACCCTATAAATCATATATATTCCTGATCAGTATATCTAGCTTGGTCCGGTTAATATTTAATTTTTTTTTTTAATTTAAATTTTAATAAAATCATTAAAATTATCAAAATTTGACAAAAAATTGAATTTCTTATATGTTAAAACTTAGAATACAGATTTTTAACTCACTAAAAACTAGCATTGAAAAGCTTTCTAATGAATATTAAGACATTTTTGGCTTAGTTATGATGTTATAAACTTGAATTTACACAAAATCTTATCCTATAAAATATCGATTAAATATTTAAGGTTTATAAATTTTTTCCGAGTATAGCTTTCAAGTGAATGTTGTTTCGAGTGCACGGCCATTGGACGTTCGATTTTTGCAATTTGTAATACGAAAACCATTACAGCGGCTTTTCTTGCTCCTTTTGTTTGTGTATAGAGATTTGAATTTCGCAATTTATAATGCAAAGCCGACTATGGGCAGTATGGATTTTTTTTGGTAAACATAAAAGGGCAAGTAAGGAGTCCACCACTGCTGCAGTCTAGAGCTAGGATTTCAGCACTCGAGCACTTGGAGCACTTCGAGCATTCGAGGATTCGAGTGCCGGTTAGGGCAGTATATGTTCCTGCACAAATCAAAAATAACATTTTTACATAAGAACAAGCATACGGCGTACTTTTGCATAAATGGTCGGGGCAACTAATCGAAAACGAAAACAATTCCAATTGGAAAAGTTTTGCGTAATGGAACTTTTTCGGCAACGAAAATCCAAAACTTCGGCATCATCAGAAGGGCATTAACGATGGCCACGCCTCCATGTTGCCAGGGACAGGGCCCTCCCATTCAAATGTGTGGCATTCGCATGATTTCTTTAAAAGGCGCTGAAAAGAAAGTCCTAGATTTCAAGAGGTGGAATGGGGTTGGAGGAGAAAGGCCTGGAAAAAGTTTTCCATGTGCAAATTTCACTTGACTTTCGACCTAGCCACGTTTAGCAGTTTACCGGCAAATCACTTGGCCATGTGTGTGCGAGAGCACAGTGCGAAAGTTCTTACCAAAATCCGGGATGCAAAGTTGGGCCGTGACTTAGGGTCACGTTTCCGGCGCATACTCTTCGGCTAAGTGATTCGTCGTGATTTGATTTGAGCCCTTTCCAAGGATAAGGGCCAGAGGAGATGCCTCTTCTCTTCTCTCCCATTCTCCAACCGAAACTGACCAAGTTCCAGAAAGTGGGTCAGCCAACTTTGTTTGCCATTCGATTCCGGCCATTGGCAATACCAAATATATATACTAAATAACTTATGCAAATCTAAGCTCACACTACTGCGCGGCAGTGTTTTAATCAACTTTTCGAACACTCAAAAATGAGCAGTTTTCAGTCCGCAAAAAACTTTTTCAATTGCCATTTCCACAGAGCTCTACAATTCGGGACTTTGCACAAAAACCGCAAAATGAAAGCAGATCACAGTGACAGCCACTGAGCGTGAATGAAAATGGGTTTTAAGCAAATGAAATGCCATCATAAAAATATCCATTCCGGATTATTATTATCTCTATCGGCATATTGACGAGGCTTAGCCGATTTACACAATATATAAAAAAAAAAGGGAGTTGTCTCTTGCACATGACGCTGGAATTAAGTGGCTTTAAGGCCTCGGAACTTTTTTAACTGGCCCGGGGAGAACGTAAACGCTTTACGGGTACGGCTGATTACTTTCACGGACTCCACCGATTTTCTCGGACCTTTGCGAGGCACTAATTAAACTTGATTGCGCGCGAAAAATTCGTTTCGATTCACGATAAACTTGGCAGGGGGTTTCCCCGGGCTCACTCCATTAAACTTTCCTCGCTCAGTCAATAAAAACGAGGCAAACTATTTGCTCAACTTCAGGAAAGTTCGCCGAATGCCGACGCTTTTTAATCGACCCAATTATGCTGGCAAGTTTTTCCGACTGCGTCAGCTAATAAAAATTTAACATAAATTGTTCTTTCGGTTCGACTTTTCGGTGCTCACTCGGCGCGATATATATTGGAATGCCATAACTCAGCTGAACTCTCGCCAAACTAAATTAATTTGCACAGCATTAAAAACTTGGCATTCTCCCCTGTGAACCGGCAGACAGACAGACCGACCAACCTTCTTTAGTTGGAGCACACGCGTCCAGATCGTAAAAGATGAATATTAACTTAAAACACAGTCGGCGGGCGGGCTAATAGATTATGCCGAGGTGTCAGTAAGCCAACAGGCCCAGGACCCTGAGAGGTAGCTTTCCAATTATCCTCACTTCTTGACAGGTCCTTGGCGAGGGGGCGGGCCATATTCAAACAGTTGCAATCAACACTCTCATAAATTTGCATACCAAAATTCAGCCTTATCCTGGCAGGGGAGTCCTTTCGCTCTTACTTTAATGCCGCACTTGCCGTACACGAAATTTGCCCACAGAATAATACATGAGACGCGGAGTGTCTCCGCCTACGCCTCCACCTCCGCAACCACCTTTTCCTCTTAAAATCCTCGGTTGAGCCGGAAACAATGGCATCCGCGGCAAAAACCGCAATCTCGGAACACGGAGGGCTCCATACAACTTCGTGTTAAAAACGAAAACGAAAAAAAAAACATAAGACAACGCACTTTTCACCGCCGTTTCGAGGCTCGAGATTGGCCAAAAGCGGCCGTCTTTCTGCAGGTGATAAGGAAGTGGTTATCCTTATTGTCCTGCGACAAGTGGCGGGGCGGCAGTGCGAAGGTAAATTGTTTGATTGCCCCTCATTAGCGGCATCTTTTCCGGTGCCCAAAGTCCCGGGTAGCTTCTTCTCTATTAGCCGCTCTGCTAAATGGAGCGTAAATAGGCTCCTGGGAAAGGAAAACTACAAAGAGAAGGTGATTTTTTGGACACGACTCTCGTTCTGGATCTCCGCTCCAAAGAGGCTTAACCAATTATCGCTGCTGTAAAATCTGCACGTGGAGCACGAACCGGGACTGTGCTGGGGTGTAATCACATAACTCACCCGGAGAACCTGGTCGGCACAATCAGCAGGCAGGCTGGCTGACAGAAACCACAGACAAACCCCGAAAAACGCTCATATCGAAGGAGGTATTCATTACCAGGCCGGCAGGCAGGCACATCAATTCTCCGGCTGTTTTGGAAAACCGAGCACGGACAGGGAATGGAGACAAATGCACGTATGTAAATTGCCGGAGCTAAATAAAAGCAGGCAGTCTTCACTATGGCAAACTGGCAGTAACTGGAAAATGCCCACCTTTGCCCTAGTTCGATGGGATAAAGAGTAGTGTTTCTGTGTGTGTGCTCGTTCGGGCGTAATAAATCCAGGTCCTGGGCGGAAACCCGCCTGGCAAATATTGAATATGGCTGCAGGATATAAATTATGGCGCCCGAACGCTCCACTGACTGCCTCCCGGTGCTATGTCTATGTATGTACAATGTATGTTTGTATGGGAGCAGTACACTCGCCGTAATTTATGCGCAATTGCAGGCGAAGCCAAAGTCCTGGCACTTACCTGTTGACTGTTCAAGGATTGGGCATTCTGCATGACTTTATCCAGGATGCGCAGTATAATCTCCGCGGCCATCTCACGCTCCAGTTGTGTGCCTTTCAATTGCAAGTAGGTGTCGAGCTGTGAAGTGGCCAAGGAAACACGAGTTGAGACAACATAATACAGGCGGTGGTATCCTGCCTCCTGTTAAAGAAAACCTAAAGGACCCAGGGCTGCTCCTTAGCTCCTCTCGACTTCGCACGGCAATTCGTTAGCCGGGGAAATTTGTGTGCGCATTAAAATGAAAAATTGTTGCTAGGCGACGACCCCAAAGGCGAAGGAACTCGCAACTCGGAACTGGGATCTCCAATCTCCTCTTTGACTGCAGTTGGGCAACCGAAAATT